TTTTTTTTTTTTTTTTTTTTTTTTGTACTGGGGATCAAACTCGGATCCTTGCGCTTGTGGGGCAGGCAATGGAAACACTGAGCTAAATCCCCGGCCCCCCGAGACAGTTCTTGAGAAAATCAGTATTCTTTCTGATGACTCACTTGCTGATTTAAAAAAAAAGAATCACATCTTTATATATGGAGCCATCAACAAGAGCCCTCAGGGACAGTAGTGTCCTCAGATACACAGGTGTGGTAGTGGTGATCGGCACACAGGGAAGGATGGATTCTCCCCTGGACAGGAAGGACAAGGTCACCACTCTGAGGGTGGTGACAGTCACAAGAGTTGAGGACCAGGGTGGCATGGGCTTGGCCAGAGGGCCCATGACACTGTCTGGGGTCACTTCAGCTTGAAGGGTGCTGAGACATCAGCGATCTCTGGGAACCTGAGGCCCAGGTTTCCACTTGGAGGCAGTCGGGGGACTTCGCCCTGGCCTATGGGGAAAGCCACCCTTGTGCCCTGGTTCTACGTGGAGCCGCTGCCTATAATGGTGACTCTCGAAGCTCCTGTTCATCCTCAAGATGGAGACCCTGGGCTGAGCAGACGGGAGGGAAGGGGAATGTGGGCTGAGGTCATTCCCAGGCTCTTTCTTCTCTCGGATCAAAACCTTGGACCCCGCTGCCCTCATCAGCCCCTATGAGCTGGCTGTACCTTATGAAAGGCTGGGAAGTGTGACCCAGGCGGGCCCCGCCCTGCAGCACTGACCAGCTTCCTGGCCTGCTCTGACTGGACTTTCCTGTCTGAAGCTGAACCGAGGGAAAAGAGGAGAAAGAGAACGTCACTGGGATTCTCGGCAGCCCTGCACATGGGAGACCTTTGCACACATCCTAGTCCTCCTTTCCAGATGAGAACAGGTGGGCTGAGTGTCCCCAAGGCAGGAGGGCTGAAGCTCTCAGAGTTCAACAGTCAGACGCCCCGCAGTCATTTGTACTCTTGGTGACTTCATGTCACCGCTGATCACCCCACTTTCCAGACACCAGAAGGAAGCCCCGTGCGAACTCTCCAAGGCCACACAGAGTGCAAGTGGAAAATTATCAACCACGCCGTCTGCTCCACTGCGGAAAAGGTGCCTATGAGGAGGGCCAGCCTCCTGGCTGGACATCAATAAGTGGATATTTTCCTGTCTACCGACATCTGTCCAGGCTATGGGAAGCATGCGCTCTCATGTCCTTGTCGCTAGTTGGCTGTGTGGAGTGGATCAAGCCACATCCTCCCTCTGGGCCTGAGTTTTCTTATCAGCAAAGCTGGAGATTACAGAGAACCCAAGGACTTCAAAGTCAGGTGCAACAATGGGCCTCCGGGGTCCCATTACTGCAGTAAGTGCCAGTCCTCAGTCATGTTGGCCCAGAGGTGGCCTCACGTGGGCTCTCTCAGCTGACCACGCCCAGCAGGGACTCACTGCACAGTCCACCTCTTCCCGCATGTCACACGCCCTCAGCCCCTCGCTGTCCCCAGGACAACCGCAGTCACAAGTTGCTGGTGCCCCCAGCCTGCCTGCCCTGGATTTCATTGTAGAAGTACATGTGTTTATCAAGCATCCCTCACATTCTCACTATGGAAGTTGGCTGCTTTTTCAGAGCCTGAAATAGTGCTAGAGATTTTCCAGTCTTCTTCTGCAAAAGTTAAAAAGTAAAACAAAATAGGAAAACAGATATTGCCTTGTATTTGGCCCCTTAATCTCCTCCCTCTGTCCAGACAGCTCAGCACAATGGCCA